TTGCGGTTCAAACACTCGAACACCTATACGGATTCTCCTGCACAGTGGCAGATATGGGGCAAAGAAGCTAGTCCAAGACTATAGGTTTAGGGTAGCCACTTGGAATATAGGAATATTAACTGGTAAGACGATGGAATTGGTAGATGTTATGATTATGAGGAGAGTTAGTATAGCTTGCATACAAGAAACTAAGTGGACGGGAGAGAAAGCTAGGGAAATTGAGGATACTGGTTTTAATTTAAACTTTATTATAGTGGTAAGGATAGACGCATGAATGGGGTAGGAATCATAATTACCAAGGGTCTTGTGGAAAGTGTGGTGGCGGTCACTAGGAAAGGAGATAGGATTATGCTAGTTAAACTAGTTATTGGAGGGAATATAGTGAACATTATTAGGGCTTACGCCCCTCAAGTAGGGTTAGATGATCAGACTAAGAGGGATTTTTGGGAGCAAATGGATGAGATCTTACAGGAGATACCCGTAGGAGAGAACCTGGTTATAAGTGGATATTTTAATGGCCATGTGGGCATAGATAAACTAGGTTATGAAAGGGTGCATGGTGGATACGGTTTTGGTGACAGAAATGAGGCTGGAGAGAGAATCTTAGATTTTGCTTTGGCTTCTGACCTGGTGGTGGCCAATATTATGTATAAGAAGAAGGAGGAGCATTTGATAACCTTTAAGAGTAGATTAGTTAAGAGCCAAATAGATTACTTCTTAGTGAGAAAAGTGGACTGCCTAAAATGCAATGATTGTAAAGTGATTCCTGGAGAGAGTCTGGTCTCTCAACATAGGATTTTAGTACTAGATTTATGTTTTAGAGGGCAATACCAAGCTAGGAAGGATGGCGGGCGTCGTAGAACGAGATGGTGGGACCTAAAAGGGGATAAACTAGAAATATTTAAGAATCAAATGGATAAGGAAGGTACTTGGGACTTAGAAGGTGATAATAACACTATGTGGAATTTGATGGCCAATTGTATGAGGAGAATCTCAAGGGAAGTGCTTTGAGAGTCGAAAGGAACGGGACCCAGCTCTAGGGAAACTTGGTGGTGGAGGGAAGAGGTTCAAGCGGTAGCTAAAGCAAAAAAAGAGTGCTTTAAAAAGTGGCAGAAGGATAGAACTGAGGAAAACCTTAAAAGCTATAGATTGGCTAATAAGGAGGCCAAGAAAGTAGTGAAAGAGACTAAGTTGAAAGCTTATGATGACCTATACACTAGACTAGATAGTAAGGAGGGAGAGAAGAGGGTATACAACTTGCTAAGATATGAAAGAGGAAAACAAGAGATTTTAATCAAGTAAAATGCATCAAGAGTGAGGATTCTAAGGTATTGGTGAAGGATGATGAGATTAAGGAAAGATGGAAGAATTATTTTAAGAAATTGTTAAATGAGGAACATGGAAGTACGATAATAGGGGAAGAAATAGCCAGTAATACAATAAACCAAGACTATAGGTTCTATCGCAAGATTAGGAACTTTGAAGTGGAGATTGTACTTAAGAAGATGAAATCAAATAAGGCTTGAGGACCCAATGATGTCCCTATTGAAGCTTGGAAGTGTTTGGGTAAAAAGGGAGTTGCTTGGTTGACTAGGTTGTTAGCAAAATTTTGTTGACTAGGAACATGCCAGATGAGTGGAGGAAGAGTATTTTAGTGCCAATCTATAAGAATAAAGGTGATGTCCAGAATTGTAACAACTATAGAGGAATCAAGTTAATGTGTCATATAATGAAAGTGTGGGAGAGGGTGATGGAACGCCGATTGTGAGACATAACAGAGGTGTCAGAGAATCAATTTGGGTTTATGCCTGGTAGGTAACAATGGAAGCGATCTATCTTTTGAGGAGAGTAATAAAAAAGTATAAAGAAAAGAAAAGAGACATTCATATAGTGTTTATCAACCTTGAGAAAGCATATGACAGAGTGCTCCGAGATATAATATGATGGGTATTAGAAAAAAAACGGGTGACAAAAGGCTACATTGACGTGATTAGGGACATGTATGAAGAGGTGGTGACCACTATTAGATCGCCAGCTAGAGAGACAAATGAATTTCCTATCACTGTAGGGTTACACCAAGGATCTACCTTAAGTCCTTA